GTATTCGTATATATATCTATGTATATATGATACATTTTATAAATTGAAATAACATAATATATTTATATAATAATATTGCTCTTTAAATAAATAATTTATTTTAATAATTTCTTATTTAATTTGTGTGTGTGTGTGTGTGTGTGTATTTAAATAAAATTGTAATTAAAATATTTTAAATAGTATGTTAATTGTTAATCGTTTAAATTGTATGTATACTGTGTGTGTATATATTTATAAATCTATTTATATAGTGCATATATATATATATATACATATAAGTATATGTACATATAAGTATATCTGTGTTTATATATGATAGTAAATCTGATAAATTGTAAATTGTAATTATATATATAATTTATATAATATTACTTTTGAGTCTTTTAATTGAATTAGACAAATATGATACAAATTTAAAAGTAAGAAAAAAGCAAAAATTCACTCAAATATTTAAGAATTTTTAAACAAGCTGTGTGTGTGTGTAATCTGAAACTGAGATTTTACATTTAAATTTTTTGTCTAGTAAACAAATTAAATGCAGTTTATGACACAGATGCTGCTAGAATATATTCTCAGCATCTGGATTTGTTTGAGAGATTCACATGAAGTACCCACAGATAGTTTCCTTTAGGGCTGTGCGATTAATCGAAATCGTCATAAAATCGCGATTTGAGCTTGCGCGATTTCTAAATCGCTTCATAGCACGATTTTCCGTGCCCCCGACCTCCCGCAGTATGCTATCCGAACCAATCAGAATGCAGCGCGCCTAAATGGAGCACAAGAACAGAACAGAACAGACCGGGCGGGCATACAAATGTAACGCCAGGTTCACACACTCCGTCTGTGGTGCGTATTTTTTCCGCGCCCATGTTAACAGATCAGAGCGTTCACACTGCACGCGATTGCGGTCCGGCAGTGCGCTCCAGGAGCGGTGCGTCTGCAGCAGTCATGCTGCGATTGTTTCCGCACGGAATCTATTTCGCTGTGCTATACGTGCTGAATTAAAGTGACAGCGCATTATTCGCTGTAAAATTTAACATGGATTGACACGGAAATTTAGTAATTACACAATAAATGCATATAATTAAAGTCTACTGTTTCACAGTCAACACATGGCTTTTTGGCTAGATTTAAAACAAGGAAAAGTGCACTTTTAGTTAAACAAGGCAATAATAATTTAAATAAAATTGTAATTAAAATATTTTAAATAGTATGTTAATTGTTAATCGTTTAAATTGTATGTATACTGTGTGTGTATATATTTATAAATCTATTTATATAGTGCATATATATATATATATACATATAAGTATATGTACATATAAGTATATCTGTGTTTATATATGATAGTAAATCTGATAAATTGTAAATTGTAATTATATATATAATTTATATAATATTACTTTTGAGTCTTTTAATTGAATTAGACAAATATGATACAAATTTAAAAGTAAGAAAAAAGCAAAAATTCACTCAAATATTTAAGAATTTTTAAACAAGCTGTGTGTGTGTGTAATCTGAAACTGAGATTTTACATTTAAATTTTTTGTCTAGTAAACAAATTAAATGCAGTTTATGACACAGATGCTGCTAGAATATATTCTCAGCATCTGGATTTGTTTGAGAGATTCACATGAAGTACCCACAGATAGTTTCCTTTAGGGCTGTGCGATTAATCGAAATCGTCATAAAATCGCGATTTGAGCTTGCGCGATTTCTAAATCGCTTCATAGCACGATTTTCCGTGCCCCCGACCTCCCGCAGTATGCTATCCGAACCAATCAGAATGCAGCGCGCCTAAATGGAGCACAAGAACAGAACAGAACAGACCGGGCGGGCATACAAATGTAACGCCAGGTTCACACACTCCGTCTGTGGTGCGTATTTTTTCCGCGCCCATGTTAACAGATCAGAGCGTTCACACTGCACGCGATTGCGGTCCGGCAGTGCGCTCCAGGAGCGGTGCGTCTGCAGCAGTCATGCTGCGATTGTTTCCGCACGGAATCTATTTCGCTGTGCTATACGTGCTGAATTAAAGTGACAGCGCATTATTCGCTGTAAAATTTAACATGGATTGACACGGAAATTTAGTAATTACACAATAAATGCATATAATTAAAGTCTACTGTTTCACAGTCAACACATGGCTTTTTGGCTAGATTTAAAACAAGGAAAAGTGCACTTTTAGTTAAACAAGGCAATAATAGATGGCACTCGTGGTGGTAGTTAAACAAAGTTATATTTATTGAGTTTAAACGTGAATATGTCTATGAAAGATTGTATTACTGTACTGTGATAAAAGAGAATCACAATGCTGAAAAAGCATTTTCAGAAACAACGTTTGGATTTGAAATCAAAATAATGGATAAATGTTGTGTTTGTGGTAAACAGCCGCGGATCAGGAGCGGACTGCAAACACGTCCTGTGCGCAAAGCAAAATGAGTCCGTGCTGCTTCTGCACCGCATACACATACTGTATACGCACTGCAGACGGAGTACGTGTGAACTTGGCGCAACAAATCTAGTTCAACATCTGAGGCAACGCCACAAAGAGATCTATGACCAATGCATGGCAAAAAAAATCCCTGGACACGGGATTTTATTATTTTTTTCTGCCATATGTCTATTCTAGAGACATTTTGTTACACCTTTACTTAGTGATTATTTTGCCTTATGTCTGTTCTAGAGACATGTTACAGCTTTTTGATAAAGCTCTAACTAGTTTTCTTTTGGAAATGTTTCAAATTCACAATGAATGCATTAATGTTTCAAAATTACGTCACCTTCCTATTCAAAGTGTTCGAGCAAATAGCAGCTCAAGTGAGCTTTCGTGTCATTGATGCGGGAGCAGTTCAGTTCATAGCGTGCGGGTAAGCTGTGAGATTTGTGAGAGAAAATCGCCAAATGGCTAATAAAAAGTTGTACCGTGAGGATGTTTTGCAAATGTTATTCGCAAGTTCAAACAACCATTCAATATCTATTATTTCATGAATATTATGACATTCAAGAGGGCCGCCCCCTGATTACGTCATAATATGCAAATTAGATGAGTATATTTACACCCCACATAAACTTTCGGTCATGCCCAACATGTTTCTAATTTACAGTAGATCTCTATCTTTAAGCCCTTTCAAGCCACAAGCTTTTGAAATCTTGATGTCAAAATCCAGCATTTTTCCAAAAAAAAACCCTGGCGCCTAAAGGGTTAAACTAGTCATAAATTTAGTTCTCTTTGTGATGTTCTCTTCCATAAATGTGAACATGTAAGACTTTCGTGAACATTTAAAAAAAAAAAGTGTTTTTTTTTTATTTATTATTTTTAAATTTTTTTATTTACCTTCAATACGGTTCACTGATGCTTGGGCCCTATTGAAGCCCTACTGTCTTCTTTTCTGTTTACACTGAAGGAAAACTCATACAGGTTGACATGGATGTTAGTTAACTATGTGTTAAGTTGATTTTTATTTTTGGGTGAACTCTTTAAGTGATTCGAATCAATTAAATTGTGAACAATACACGCCGTCTCTCTTTTTCCATTGAACTGCTTTCTACTTTCACGAATTGATCCGATTCCACGAGGGTATCGCAAAACCTGGTGGCTGGTGTTAAACCGATCCGTTTAAACGAGGGAACTCTGTAGCCAAAGGCTGCGAAAAACGACACTACAGCTGGTGGCGCATGAATTGACGAATCGCAGACAGAGTCCGTCGTGTTTCTAGGCCTTCTGTCCTGCTGCCCGGGTAGATGTGGGCTCTGACTTGGCCGGCGATATGTGACACCCAATATGGCAGCCTTCGACTAATTGATGCCACCTTGTCAACCCTAATTACTGCAACTGCTGCAATGAGGAGGCAGCTAATTAACAGACTAACGATGTTTGTCACTTCAGACCGACCCAGATATTTAGGAGACGGCCCAAGTCCGCTGCCAGTGCATCTGTTTCGGGTGTTTTTTTTTCCACCTCGCACCTTCTTTCGCTTCTTTTTCCCATTTTGATCTCTCTGCTGTTTCCCAAATGCCATTTCGTACCTTTTCGGTGGGAATTTAGTTTACTTGCAGCTTGGTTTCAATCTCCTATCACATTGCCGTCAGAATTGATTAGGACCGAGGCGCGCGCTGACGTTCCGCGGGTAGGGAAATAGGTGAGCTCTCTGACTTTAAATGCGGTTGTCAGCCGCTCTCTGTGTTTTTTCCCTCAGTCGTCACTTCAAAGATGTTTTGAATTTGACATATTTAGAGCTCGCTTTTTACCCAGCAAGCTCAACTACACTAATTATCAGTGTGAGGAAACAGAGGAGTCGCTAATGATGAGGCAGCGGGGGTTCGAGTGTGTGTGTGTGTGTGTGTTGTTAAAATGTAATTGATTTTTATCGCACATCTGATCAGATGCTGTAATCTCTCTCCGCTGCCGCGTTCGCTCAAAGTTCTGCGTTCGTTTTCTAGGTCAGCCAAAGAATTCTGCATTCATGAGGAAAATTATAATACTGCGTGTGTCAGTGATAATCAGATGTGTAAGTGATGATATGCCGCCAGCCAGAAACACTGTGAGTGGTAAAGTCACAGTAAAATACCTGGAATCTAAAATCAAACACTATGAAAATGCTTCTTTTTTTTTTGTGTGATCCAAGTATGTTTAGTGAGGAAATAATGTAAGGTGGGATTTGATTTTATTTGTTTTGATTGAAAAGTGGGCGGGTGCATAACAAAATACAGTAAAGTGATTGGATGGGAGAGTCTCACTGGAAATTGCAAATTACAAAGAAACGGCAAGTAACAGTGAATTAAACATGAAATATTGAAGTAGAAAGACTAAAATAGTATTTTCCATTAATCTTGGTTTTATGACTTTGAAAAATCATATTTTATTGTATAGGAGGTATGGAAATGTTATGTGTTAATAAACGATTACAAAGACACACTGAGGGATCGTTCAAAATCAGATTTCGAAGAAACGTTTGATTCCATGTTGAATTGAACTCAGTCTTTTATTTGGTTTTCAGATTCGAGTGGATGGTATACCGCCGCCTTCGGAGAACGCTCTGCTGTATGAGACGGTCCCCGTCGTGGAGGGAAGCCCGATTCTCCGTGACATGGTGTTCAGTCCTGATTATCAGTACATCTATCTGCTGAGCGACAAACAGGTGAGAATTATTCTGAAAGTGAACGATTCTGATGAGGTGAGGCAACTAATACTAGGAAAAATATATGCATGTCTATTGGACAGGCTTTGTCTCTTTTAGACAGCTCTTTCTTTGTTTTCATTTATCAGGGATGATCCAAAATAGGAATTTTGGCTCATACTGATAGCCGGTGTTTATCTTATTTGGCCGATAATGATTTTTCGCAATGTACAGTAGAAAATTGTTTTTATTTATTTTGAGAAAAAATAAGGAACAAATCTACTTGCTATATCTGCCAAAACAGATTATTTAAAAAATATACAATACTGTTCAAAAGTTTTGGTAAGAAATTAATACTGTTGCTCAGCAAAGATGCATTAAATGGATCCAATGTGAGTTTTTTATATATACAGTGGGTACGGAAAGTATTCAGACCCCCTTCAATTTTTCACTCTTTGTTATATTGCAGCCATTTGCTAAAATCATTTAAGTTAATTTTTTTTCCTCATTA